TTAAATAAATTTAACTCGCTGGAATAAAGCTTAAGTTTAAAATTTGGTGTTTTTCTGTGTGTCGGTTCATGAGTTATGCGACCTACAGACACACACACACACACACACACACACACACACACACACACACACACACACACACACACACACACACACACACACACACACACACACACACACACACACACACACACACACACACACACACACACACACACACACACACACACACACACACACACACACACACACACACACACACACACACACACACACACACACACACACACACACACACACACACACACACACACACACACACACACACACACACACACACACACACACACACACACACACACACACACACACACACACACACACACACACACACACACACACACACACACACACACACACACACACACACACACACACACACACACACACACACACACACACACACACACACACACACACACACACACACACACACACACACAGACATCATCGCAAAAATAGTCAAAACGGATTCAGGGGACCTCAAAACGTAAAAATCCGTCGAAAACTCGAGGTCGAAAAAAATCATGATTCCTATACTTTCCTTATATCTGTATACAGATAGGAAAGTAATAATGAACATATCTGGAAAAGATAAAACTAATTTCGAAAGGGTGACTGTACTGTCTTATGATGAAATTAAAGTATCATCACTTATTGAATATGACCAAAAAATACCACTTCCTTTTAAATTTTAATAATAAAAAATATACTTTTTTAGTTATTATCATATTAATGAAACACGTTATTATAATTTATGTTTATTGTCTTTATTAAACTTTTGCCCTGTAATGTAATTTATTATTAAAAACATTATTTCCATTATACTTGATATGCTCGGAATTTGTCACCAGCATACTTGTGACGTCACGACAAGTCGTGTCGTGATTGGCTAGAAGTTACGAGGCAACCGTATTATTTTACGAACCGTGGGCTAGGTTGTGTAACGTGAAAATTGTTAGAAATACTCTCACTTGTGGCGTTCGAACTGGATGTGCTCAAGCGCCAGTTTGTTTTAGAGTGGTTTGCTCCACTTTACCTATTGGAACAAGTGACAAAAAGGGCTGCAGGTAGCTGCAGTGAAGAAAGAAAATTCCAGAGGGTCAACCAGGGGGTATATTGTGGGGTCAACGATATTACGATAGTTATGTAGTATTTGAAAAAAGATTTACCACAAGAGAATGAAATGCCAGGTGTCATTTTGGTACATATATCGAAATACGTCAACTAACACGTTGCGGTTGATACACTGATCTGTATCAGCCACATACTTTGATTTTCTTTTACTGTACGGAGAATAGTCGCACTGCGCAGCTTTCTGAGTGCCTTTTAAAAGGAGATAGAAAACTTCGCCATTTTGACCCCTTATTATGTGTTGCCTACATCTTGACTCAATATTTTTAATAGGTGCGTTTTAATCATCCGCTTCTGCTTCGAAATTGTCGGTTTTCTTGTTTTAATCTGACAGGTTAAAACGACTAAACCGACAATTCCGGAAGCAGAAGCGGATGATTAAAACGCACCTGATATTTTGCTTGCTGCTGTCAGTGTCAGTGAATATTATTTTTGAAGTCACAGTTTATTGCTAAAGAATCAGTTAGCTCACTCGGACCAGTTGAAAGTTCCAAAATAACATCCACTCCAGGGATACAAATTCAGGATACGCAGAAGTCTGCTGTTTTATTATAGGCGGTTGTCATATATTGTATTATCCGAGTTGCACAGTGTATAAACTAAAACATTGATGTCCAAAGTGCCGACGCAGAGTGAGCGATCTGATTCTTTAGCTGTAAACTGTGTCACAGGGTTCAAAATGGCCGCGCCCTATGTTGGGCGTGTCGGACCTCTCTCTTGCCTCGTATAGTAATCAAAGTATGTGGTATCAGCACATACTTTGATTTTCTCTTACTATACGGAGAATGGTCGCACTGCGCAGCTTTCTGTGTGCCTTTTAAAAGGAGAATGAAAACTCCGCCATTTTGATGCCTTATTACGTGTTGCCTACATCTTGGCGCAATATTTTTAATAGGTGCGTTTAGGATTATGTAGGAGCGGCTAAATGCTGACCAGCGTGCACATATTATTTTTTGTGTTTTCCGCTAGATGGCGTGTATTTGAGCGCGGTTTTTTAAATTGATAATTTTGACTTGCACACCATACAGTGCGTCAAAAATTGTATTTTAAATTATATTTTATTGTTATTAATTCTGGGTTAGACATAAGTTAATAAATAACCCATTAATTAGGAATTTATTGGTAGGTATAAATAAAATAACCAATATAAAATGTATCAGTGTTCACTCATTTATTTTAAAAAATAAAACACTAAATCATTATAGTCAATTTATTAAAATATAGAAATACTAGTTGTGACAATCATTGTCTCTAAAAAATTGAGTTTCATTCTTTTTTGTGTATAGAATTGTCTAATAAATATATATTGAGGGTAGGGTGAGTATATGGTGATTAATAAAATGATTTCTACATGTATGTGTCGAGTCTAGAATAAAAATAAGCCTAATTGCTCCTTTTGTGCAATGAATAATACTTTTGTAGCAGCAGGAGAAGGCATGGCCGATAAAGTACTTTATGAAGTATATACAAAAGTTCTACTTTTCGACTGTTTTCTGTCCGAATAACGACGTTTTTTGACACATTCGAATAAAAAAAAATAAAAATGTACAAACATATTATAAGACCTAAATAACCTTATAACACAATATTAAAAATGTTACAAATGAGGTAAAAATTAAATACAAATTAAAGTTTCAAATAGTATAGCATACATTAGAATAATAAAGTGGTACCATTACGGATCAGCGAGTATCACTCACAAATTCTACATAGTATTAATATGTCTTAGACGAAAGATATGCATAAAGTTTATATTTGAATGTATTAAAGATTTTTTTGTTGCTATCAATATGAATATATATTTAATGAAACATTCAATACCTCTATTGATATCGGAACATAAAAAATAATAATAATTAGGAAAATAAAAAGTGATAGGTCATAATAATACCAATTCTACCTCTCTTGCCTTAAATAAAATACATTACAGATTAAGTTAAAAAAGTATTTAACTAGGAAAAGGAACATAATCTATATCAACTAATATTAAAAAAAAATCAAAAACCTTAAATTAGAAATTAAAAATAATTATGATCATTGTCACTACTTTTACTAATAACTAAAGAACTGCTAAGAGTACTTCTAATAATTTCGTTTTCATTTAAATTGGGTTTTTTTTATAATTATTGCCCTTTTGCTTTTTTTATTGAGGTGAAGACCAGCTGTTTTTTAATTTTTTTATTTGGTGGCTCATTAATTTCTGCAGAGGTTACACAAGGAATATCGACTCTGCTAATGCTGTTGTCATAGTTTAGCATTCTTCAAATATTGAGAAACTTGCCTGAGAACATTTTCATCAGAGGAATTTTCTAATTTGCTCTGCATATCATTTATTTAATTTTTTATTTTATGTTTTAATGTGCCTAAACTTGTTGCCTCTGCTGAAATATTTTGTCCCAAATACTCTAAATGTGTATTTACTTCAGCCTTGTCTTCATCACATTTATTTTGTTTATATTTACCATCAGCTTCTTCAGAATTGTTATCTGGCATATTTAGCAAAAGGAATATGTTTGCGTATTGTATTTCGTCTTAAATAATCTAAACAGGTGCAGGTAATAACTGATAATGCAGATAAGAAATGGCACTTCAACATTAACAACACAATTCAAATTCAAACTTATTTGTTCACCAATTGACAATATGATCAGCAGTAGCTGCGCCCTCTGACGAAAAGTAAAATAAATAATCTGTGCACGTCGGTCAGCATTTAGCCGCTCCTGTGCGTTTTAATCCATAGATAAATTAATAATATAAGATGAATTTTTTAAATGCACGCTACTGTCAACACGTTGTAGTTCCCAGCATACTATTAGTTAGCGCCACCATTGCAATAGTATGAAAGCGATGTTGCCGGTTTCCGTAAACCTTCATGAGATGAGAGTTATTTCAAATTCATCTTATTTTTTGTTTAAATTTCTTCGCTTCTAGCTTTGGTTTTATTTTTTAATAAAATTTCAATTTGGTTTGGTGTAAAAAAATTTGCTCAAACATTTTTTAGTTTTGCATCCAACGTCTTTTGACTATGATCAGCACCGAGTTGCAATTTATTATTTATCGCAATAAGGTTTTCTATTTCTGCCTTATCTTGTTGTGCTTGATTTTTAAATTTTTCGCATTGTTCTTGAAGAGCAATATTTTTTGAAACAAAATATCATGTGGATTTTGATTACTGATATCTTGTAAAATGCTGTTCGAACTACAAGCTGGCTAACCCTGGGTGAATCATTCTCTTTGGGACCTTCATCTATTAAGAAACTTTCGACAATCCGTTTCTCCTCTTTTAATTGCATTCTCTTACTCCTTTCACTAATACTTTTTTCAGATACCAATGGAAGGTTAAGTGATGGAATAGCTAAAATATAAATATAATAAAACACTTATTTAATTCAGGCAAAGTTTCTTTAAGTCTTTTTGGCATTTTATTTGTTATTTGAGCTTCAATCATATCTTCATATTGATCCAGCGCAAAATGTTTACTGCAGATACGTTTATTTTTTGGATCAAAGGGACTTTTTCTTCTACAAAGACGAACCCATTGTTTTAAAATTTCCGGTTTTTTGGGGAAAGAAAAAAATCTCTAACTAATTTATTTACATCTCTTAGTAAATTATTTATGACCGTAGTGAGATTTTAAAAAACTTAATGGATAATTTATTAATATTACTACTAACAACAAATTAATAAAAAACCAGAAAAACCTTATTTTCGGAATTTATTACCACCAAGCCCTACGTTTTTTTCTACACAATTTTTTTTTCTTCCCACCGTGTCTAAAAGATTTTCTTCCAGAAAAGGTATTTTTCCCCCCAATTTTTTTCTTGCTACTGACGTTGGTTGAATAGGAATTTTATTTCCTTTGCGGCGAGTTGCTATGGCAGAAGTCCTATTTTTTGAAGAAATGCCTTTATATTTGAATGCATTCCACTGAGTAATGCAGTAGTGGTGTGTGCATATTTATCTACATTACTTAAATAGCAGGATAAAATTGTTGAGGATCTTGTTCAAGTTTACTAACTATATCATTAGAATACGATATCTATTTATCTTTTAATTCTGCAATTTCACTTTCTGAAGGCAAGCACGTTTCATTATTAAGCTGCATTATTCCATTTCTAAATAAAGATATTTCATTTTTGTGTGGCGTAATAGATGATGATGGTAACGCACACTCCAAAGTAGGTTATTTCTGTATTTTGTAGTGGAATAAATATTCTTTCGGGTGCAATATTGCCAGTTGCAATTTCGTACAATTTTAATTTAGCGTTTGTCGACAGGTTGTTTAAAACCGATAAAATATTGTAGTTCCTAATCACTAATGCTTTATGCTTGCCATATTTGCCGTTAAATCCTACAGGGCACGTACATTTGCAACATAACATATCAACCCTGTTAATTAGTTGATTGTTTGTTTTACTTTGGACGGTAAACTCCATCTGCTCCATATTTGCTGACATAATTTTACAATTCGTGTTATAGTTTTTTAGGTACCGAGAGGTAACAACTTTTGACTCTCGACCAAAGATTAAATCTAGAATTCGTTGTTTATAATATGATTCAAAGCTTGTAACAACAAAATCTGCTAATTTACGTTGAAAGCTTTTTTGCGTTTCAGTGGAATATCTTTCAATAAGCGAAACATGACTTCTGTATAGTTATTTGTATCTGTACCTCTCAATGGAAGGTCTTGTCGATAGAAAACTGCCCACTCCTCTATTCTTGTTAGCATGTTCTCAACATATGTTTTAAAGTTTTCATGTTCACAATTCTCAAAAAAGTCTTGCTTTGAATTTTCGAGGTCTGTGCTAGTTTTAGAATATAAAATATTTTTGACCATGACATAAAATTGCTGTTTTTTCTTTTGGTACAGAATGTTGTGCCATCATTAGCCAACGCCAACATGCTTTTAGGACATGGAATGTACATAATAACAAATTCGAGGACACGGCCAATATTTACGTAATACGTTTCTTTCCGCTAGATCACCATCGGTAAGAATGACTTTAGGATTTATTTTAATGTGAAGGATTTCAAAAATGCCTTCAATGCCCAATTCAAATACATCTGATTTTTGGCTACTGCTGAAAATACAACCTATGGGCAAACCTCCAGCCGCAGACTGCGTTATAAAAAAATACACTTTGTGGTTTTGGTTGTCGCAATTGTCTGTTGCATCAACAAACATTATTTCAGAACACTGAGGCAATTCAAGTGTTGTTTGTATTATTGGCGTACAAAGTGCAATTGCATATTCTCCATTTTTTCCGATATTTTAAAACGAACTGAACTATTTTTTTCATGATATTTTAGCTCCTCCTCAAGTTTAAGTAGCATATTGGGACCTGTATAAGCGCCATAGTGTTTTTGCTTTCCATAGTATAGACACATCATTTTTTTTTTGGAAAATAATGTCTATCAAAAACAAGATTTTCATAACTATCTCCTCTTTCATTTTCATACAACAATAGGTATTTATTTATTTATTTCACAACCCAAACAGGCTTTTAGCCTTATTACATGGATATTATTGCTAAGACTGTTACAATAATTAAATTAATATTATTACACGACAAGTAACTAAATTAAAATATAATATAATATGAACGGCGAAGTTGACAAATTCTACACCATATTCCGTGAAATAATGATCAACCCAATGTTGATTGTTAATAATTATGATAGTTTAAATCCCATAATTTTTAAAATAATTTAATACAACTTTCCAATACTGATTAAATGACATATTCCAATCTATAGTATGCATAACATTAACATTATTAGCTAAGGAGAGAATAGAGTAAAGTCAATATTTTTAAGTTAAACAAAAGAGTGGAGCGCGTGCGTTTTGGAGGAACATTGAAAGGTATAAATGCTAATAAATAATTTGATGTATTTTGATTATTCATCAAACCAAACAAAAACTTCATCATAGCTTGCTTACGTCTAACGATTAGAGACGTTATTTGGAATTCTGTTCTTAGCATTTGTGTTCTTACCTGATTGTAATCGGGCCAACGGTGATGTTTTTTGTAGTATAGATACTGAAGAAACTTATTTTGAATTTTTTCCAGATTGTCAAGATATATTTGTGGTTCTTGTACCCAAATTATAGAAGCAAAATCTAATTTAGGTAAAACAAGAGTGTTGTAAAGAGTTTTGATTGAAGATAAGTTCGAGAATGAGGATGTTTGCCTAGTAATGAAACCAAGCATTTTATTTGCGCTTTTAATTATTTTTTCTATATGAGGACTAAAAGATAATTGATTATTATAGGTTACGCCAAGATCTTTTATTTCTGAGACTCTGTTTAATAGATCAGTGTCCATTGTGTAGTCAAAAATAATTGGCTCTTTCTTGCAAGAGATTGTCATGACAAAGCAATAAACATTATTGATATCTCTTTGAAGTGCTACACTGTCCCTGACTGTGTGTATTTTCTTAAATATTTTCAAGTCGTCAGCATAAAGTAGACACTCTGAATTGTTTAGACAAGAAGGAAGGTCGTTAATAAATATTAAAAAAAAGTAATGGACCGAGGTTAGAGCCCTGTGGCACACCCGAATTTGAGTGATATTGGTTGGAGATTTTTCCATTGAATTTTACAGAAAAATGTCTATCCTGCAAATAACTTCTTAGTAATTTTAGTAAGTTTCCTGTTACACCTAAATTGTTTAATTTATTTAATAAAATATCGTGATTTACTTGGTCGAAAGCTTTACTAAAATCCGAGAATATTGTGTCTAATTGTAGTTTCTCATTTAATGCTCTGGTAGCATGTTCTGTAAAAATTAATAAGTTTGTATTTATTGATCTTCCATTTACAAAACCGTGTTGTTCCTCAGCTAAAATATTTTTCATGTGGTTGTATATTTTACTAAATACTTCAGACGGAGCATATAATATTGCAATTCCCCTATAGTTTTTAATATTTTGTTTATTCCCAGATTTATGAATAGGTGTGTAACTCGATAATTTCCATTTTGTTGGATATATCGAAAATTTGATAATTAAATTGAAAATATGTAATAATGGTTTTTTTAGAAAATCCCTGCAGCCTATTAAGATATAAGGAGGAATATTATCGTTACCTGCTGATTTTTTTTGGTTTCAATCTCTTCATAGCTTCATTGTATTCTAAAAGTGTTATTGAATTTAAATCGCAACCGTCAAAGTGATTACAAGAATTATTTAAGACCACAGTACCACCCCCAATATTCGTAACATGAACTAATTTTGATAGATGTCATTTATGTGTCATAAATTAAGAATCCTTTTGTTCAGCAGATGGAGCAATATTCCATATTTAATAGTTCTTTTGTTCAACAGATGGCGTAATAATTTTATTAGTTCTAAACGTTAACTGTTATAAAATACCTAACAAATTCATCACCCCTAGCTACTACGCGATAATAACTAAACGAGTTCTTGACCTTGACAAATATTTTCGATGAAACAGGTATAAAAATAAAACTTTTGCATTAGATTCGGCACGTCGGTATATTTATTTAGTAGCAGCGTTGGGTTTATTGGTACAATTGTACTAGATTCAGTACATTTCAACCATTCATAAATGCTAGTACCACAAAAGACAAAAGTATCTAAATCTAGTACATTTTAAATATTTCGCTGGATCTTCTAGAATAATGTATTCTATGATTTCCAATTTCTATGCTAGACAGTAGATACTTCTGATACTCCCAATGCGATACTTTATACCAGGGAGGCTATTTTCAAACTCGAGAAAAGTCATTCCTCTCAAGAGAAATGTCATAATATGTCAACGTAAAACAGTATTTTTAGGGCCCTTGGGGCCAGTGTGAACTCACAGATTGTTTCTCTCGGTTTATTTAGAGGGAATACAAATTCTCGTAAGAATTTTAATCCTCGAAGCCTTTAAAACAGCGTTTCCACATTGACGTACGACATTTCTGATGAGAATCTTGAGAGAAATGAGTGCTCCCAAACTTTGAAAATAAGGGGTAAGAGATAAGGGAGTATGAGTCTTCATATAAGGGACATAAATATAAGATACGCTCCCAAGCATATGCTTAACAACCACCAGCTCGAACGCAGTTAACATCTGGCCCACTATGTGTCGCTATCATCGATATCAAACAAATAACCCAGCGGGAAATTTAAAAACCTGATAAATATCGACTACACTTTCATGTTCTAGTAAATAAATTTAAACATTGTTAATTACGGTAAATTATTTATTAAAAAGAATACTACACTTACAGTCTATTATAGATTAATTATTGTAAATCTATTGACATAACAAATATTTTTTAATTTTTACCCTTATTTTATTTGTTTTTCTATAAAAAATAAGTGTTTTTTATTTTTAAATTTTATTATTTAACCATATAAAAATATATTTTTGTTTTACGTATTTTTACTTTATTTTTAATTTATATTTTTTTGTTTAAAATAAAGTTTATTTTGGTTTCTTTTTAAATTTTTTATTTACCAACGTAAGAATATATTTTTGTTATACCCATTTTATTTATTTTTTGGTTTAAAATGAGTTTGTGTTCTCATTTGAAATTTATCGCCAAATCTAGTACGTTCTGGTACAATCACGATCTGAATTTCAGTACAAGCTGTTGCTACTAAAAACCCAACGCTGAGTAGTTCATTCTTGTGTCCAGTCAACAAAGGACAACGGTCTTCGTATCATTACGTAGGGACCATTTATACTATACATAGTGTTTCGTTAAGAATGGGATATAGAACAACTGACGATTTTCTGATTAAAAATAAGACAACTAAACAAATCATGCTTAGATAAAATGTTTCTTGGTACCGAGTTAAGGTGTTAAAATCCAAAAAATATTTATTGCTTTATTTTTTTTATTACTCACAACAATTTTACTAAATTTGGCAAACGTTTTTGGTGTCAAATTATCCACCTATCAGCAAAAAAATAAGTTACCTTAATTAACTTTTCCAGTGGCGTACAGCATTCGTACGTAATACCGCATACCTCTTAAATTTTACGTCACTATCCAAAATGTTATTTGGACATAAAATTTTAAATTTTTTGATGTTTTTAAAATAAATAATGTACTCTTAGAAATTTAATAAAAAAAAAAAATCGAAATTTAAAAACTACAGAATTTTCTAATATGTGCGAATATCTCAAAAACTAACTCAACTTTATTTAAAAAACATCAAAAGTGGACAGTGGACTAAAATTTAGAAGGAAAAAAGATGTTACTGGCCCATGACGTACGCCACTGGCAAAGCTTATTTAACTTATTTTTTGATGATAGATGTATTTTATTACACCAATAACGTTTGCCGAATTTAGTAAAATTAAACTGAGTAATAAAAAAATTGTAGCTATTTATAATTTTTGATTTTCAACTTTAAAACTCTGTTTTTCGGAAACAAGTAATGTTTTACCTACGGATGTTTCGTTTAATCGGCTTATTTCTAATCAATTAATCTTCAGTTGCTCCCATTCTTAATGGAATACCATGTATATACCGAAAGGTCTTACAGCCAAAGAACCAAATAAAAAAAGAAAAATGTACCTTATTTACCAACAATACTTTATTTAGATCTGCATCAGTAAAAAATATTTTCAAAAAATTTAATCTCATTTATATGTAAGTTGGCGTCATCGGCATACGGAAAACCTTTTTAAGAATTTAAAAAAAAAAACTTTTTTTTCATAAACAATTGCATGGTCTATTAATTTTAGAAAAAAAGTTACTTTACATAAAAAGTTATGCATGGTCTAAAACCTAAATTTTAATTATCTGATATCAAATTTTATCAGTCGTATACAGGGTTTGTCGAAAATAAAGGTATTTTATCTTGAGAGCAATATTATATTTTTTGACAAACCTTGTAAAACCGACTGATAAAATTTCTCGTAAAATTTGCTATCGGGTGGTTGCATTTTCTGTTAGACCATGCATAAATTTTTATGAAGAATAACTTTTTTTCGTAAAATAAATAATAAAAAAGTTTTCCATTTGTTATCAACTTACATAGACCTACTGTGTGTATGCAACTTATGACATATTGCTGAGATAATGTTTTTGTAAGAAAAAAGAAATTAATCATAAAATTT